TTGTAGTGATAATCAGGATGGCTCATTTCAAACAGTTGACAAGAAGGTGTGAGTAACAGTAGGGGGAAAATTAGCATGGGGAAATAGTTTTTAGTTAGTGTAATGACTCATCCACTCCCAGTCTTTATTCAAGCCTAATTTAATGGTGTCCAGTTTGCAGATTAATTCCATTTCTGCTGTTTTTCGTTGGAGTCTGTTTTTGAAGTTGTTGAATAATTGCGAGTTTTAGGTCTGTAATTGAGTGTCCAGGGAAGAGAAATCACCAAGACCTGAAGTGGAGGAGAACAACATCCACCCCTCAGAAGCAGTGACTGTGGAAATGTGATCTCAGTCGCTCTGGTCAATAGACAAACTTGGTTCAGAACATCAGTAGGGGAGATCCACCTGGTTCTGATGAAAAATAGAACATTTCCAAAATATGAGTGGATGTTTCTCTGGCTACCTGCTCATAGATCAATCAAACAGACACTTGGGTTCAGATTTTCAAAGGAGTCAAAGGGAGTTTGGTGTCCAATTCTCATTAATTTGGGCAACTAACTCTCTAGCTTCCTTGAAAATCCCAGACTTTCATTTTAACCAGGGGTCCTGAAGCAGTCCTGAAAACCCTTCAGGCTAACAAATTTTAGTTGCACAACACAGATGGGGCCAAATGAGGTTAAAACCCTTTTGACCTGAAGTATTTTTTAAATTAATAGCCACTGCAGAAAACATTAATTAAGCATAGATGGGGCCTTAAACAGTACATAGTAATTGGAGCTTTATACCTCTCATCCCTCAATAGTCAATGTATTTGGGCTAGAGCCACAAAAGGACATCAGCACCACTGAGATCCTCAAAAACCCCATTCAGCTGGTGCCTAAGGTTCCAGGGTGCTGACATTCAGCCATTAAAGTCCCATCATACCTACATTTCTGCCAGTGAACAGGTGGACAGCTGCCTTGGTCTTGGCACTCTCCTCACTCCTAAACCCCAGCATGATCCTCAAACTAGGCCTGTCTCATCCGCAGGTCCCTGGGGGGGGGGGGGGGGGGCACAAAAAGCCACCAGAGGAGGAAGCACCCTGTTAGAAGAATGTGAAGTAAATAGGATAAAGACTAAACAATAATAATCTTGCTTCTGGCCTTGCTTTTAGTTTAAACAGGCGGAATAAGCAAGAGAATGGAAGTGAAAGCACAAAGCTGCCCCGCCCCCCCCCCCCCCAGCCTTGCCTTTCAGTAACAAGAGAAGATAAGAGGACCCAATCGAGCAAGGGGTTGCTATGGTAACCAAGCAGTTGGAAGGTGTAAGGAAGAGACACTGAGTCCAGGAGAGAGTGACCGCGGCCAAAAGTAACCCCGCTCCTTACCCCTCCTGTCAAGTACGAAAGAGGTGGTCTTATTGCCCCTAGACTCCAGACCCCCTGAACGGAACACGACCATATATTGGAAGGGGAGGGGCACTACAAGACTAGGTGAGAGAAGAGGGGGGGTCCATCGGTGTGCGGAGCTAGGGGTTAGGAGACGAAGGGGGTTCTATCGGTGTATAGAACTCTGATTGTGGGAGGCGAAGAAGAAAACTCTATTGGTATATAGCGTTTGGCCCGACTGCTGTGAAGGGCTTTGGAATACGCTTGCTTGTTTAGCCCCAGTAAACCCCTCCCATTGCCTGCAGACTGGACTCTGGACTGTTATCTTCCGGTGAACTGTGCCTGGGAACGGAGAGGGAAGAGGGAGCTGGACCCCCGTCAACACCCTCCCCTTTATACCTTTTAGCTCAGTGGTTAGTGCTCTCACCCAGGGCCTGGGTTCATTTCCTTCCTCGGCCTGCTGTGGAGAAGGGATTTGAATGTGGGTCTCCCACCTCCCCAGACAGTGCCCTGACTACTGGCCTATGGGGTATTCTTGGGTCAGGGCTCCTCAATCGCTTCTGTTGATACAGTTCCATGGTGCATACATAATTACATATGCCTTGGAGCAGGGGGATTGGAACCCAGGGTCCCATATCCTGGGTGAGTGCTCTGACTTCTGGGCTAAAAGTTCTAAGGGGAGACAGTAACAGTGTCCCCTCCCCCCCCACACACACACGTTTTTTGCAGGAAAGGGATCACAGCCGAGAACCCAAAATAGAGATGGGCGCTCCCTCTGATCCACACACACACTTTGAGGGGTGGGGCTCAGGCCAGACCCCTCTCTGGCTAGCACGCTGGCTTCTGTGGATCCCATTCCTATGCACTTTACTCTCCCCATGCATTGTCTAGGTGCCTAACTGTGGATTCCACGAGGTAGCAAGGTGCCTAAAATTTAGGCACTGCAATGCTGAGCATGGCAACCCCCAAGTCCCCTTTGTGAATAAAAAGCCAGGAGGTTGTTTGTGAGCAGAATTCTGCACTGATGTAGATGGTCTCTGAGGTTTTCTCCTCACCCTTGAAAATGAAATAAGGCCTGTGAACAAACAGAAGACTTTCAAATAGCTGCTTTTCACCTTTTCTATCTACAACCACCTGTCCTTAAACAGCGAGTTAATACAATTTCAGTGCTAAATTAAAAAAAATATCATGGGCAATTCCAATTCTTTTTTTAGCAGGGGAGCTGCCTCAGGAGGGCAGCTGTTGAGGCGTGAAGGCAGTTACCTCAGCTGGACGGCTCCAGGGTGAGTATGGGAAGGTTACCTATCGAGCGATGTACACAGGGCTGCTTGTCGGGCAGTACAGAGATTGTATTGGTGAATATATAAGGAGATGTTGGGGCAGGATGGGGGGTTAAATAGGGGATGTATAAAGGGTTGTTAGGTTTCAGAGTAGCAGCCGTGTTGGTCTGTATCTGCAAAAAGAACAGGAGGACTTGTGGCACCTTAGAGACTAACAAATTTATTAGAGCATGAGCTTTCGTGGGCTACAGCCCACTTCATCGGATGCATAGAATGGAACATACAGTAAGATATACAACGGGTTTGAATAGACACTGGGAGTGGCTGGGTCATTACACATACTGAATCTAGTTCCTTAGGTTAAGCATCCTCACACCTTCTTGTCAACTGTCTAAATGGGCCATCCTGATTATCACTACAAAAGCTTTTTTCTCCTGCTGATACTAGCTCATCTTAACTAATTAGCCTCTCACAGTTTGTATGGTAATTTCCACTTATCTGTATGTGTGTGTATATATATATATATATATATAAAATCTTACTATATGTTCCATTCTATGCATCCGATGCAGTGAGCTGTAGCTCACGAAGGCTTATGCTTTAATAAATTGTTAGTCTCTAAGGTGCCACACGTACTCCTGTTCTTTTTAATGGGTTGTTAGGGGTTGTATGGGGGCAATATAGCAGGCTATGCGGGGTGGGGGTGGCAGGGAGCAGTGTAAGGGGCTTCTTGGGGCAGTATGGGAATGCTTGAGGGCAAGATGAGGAGATGTATAGGGGACTATTGGGGGTGATATAGTGACAGTGTTGATAAAGGGGGCTCCTGGTGGTGGTAAAGGGGTTGCCTGGGGGCAGCATAGGGGGTGTACAGAGATTCCCGGGGAACAGTAAAGCGGCGGATATATGGGGGGGAGGCTGCTGCGGGTAGCAGAGTAGGGGTGTATAGGGGCTGCTGGGGGAAGGCATAGGAGATGTAGGGGGCTGCTGAGGGTGGCACAGGGCAGGTGTACAGGGGGCGGCATACTGGGGCTCGGGGGCCACGGGCAGGGGGTGCAGGGGATGCATGGGGCCGGTGCAGGGGGTTGCTTCCCGTCCCTCCCTCCCTCCGGAGGCCCCAGCCGTCACTTCCTGTGGAATTTTCCCGGGGATGGAGGAGGGGAGCGGGCATAAAAGCGACCGCGGGGCCGCCGGGAGCAGCAGCCGGAGCCGGAGTCAAGTCGGAGTGCGGAGCGCCGCCCCCCGGTGAGTACGGGCGGGTCCGGGTCCGGGTCCGGGTCTCCCCGGGAGCTGTCCAGCGTCTGCGAGCACCCGTGCGCGGGGAGCGGGACCAGCCCTGCACCCCGCGACCCCCCTCAGCGAGCCCTTCACCCCCAGCTTGCCCGCATCACCCCCAAGCCCCCAGCCCTGCACCCTTGACCCCCTCCCAGCCAGCCCTGCACCCCTGGCTTGCCCGCTCCCCTATCCTGCCCCCATCCCCCCACCCCGCCCTGTCCCTATCAGCCCCACCTTGCACTCCAGTCCCGCCTCCAGCCTCCTCTGTCCCGCACCCCCATTCTGCCCCCATCACCCCAAGCCCCCAGCCCTGCACCTGACACCCCCGGTCTGCCCCACATCATCCCAACCCCCCCACCCAGCCCTGCTACCCTCTGGCTGCCGCCTGTCTCCCCCTCACCCTCCTGGACTCCCCTCCATCCAGTTGCAGCCTGTCTCGCTCGACCCCAGCTCCAGCCCGTCATCTCCCTAGCCCCCCCTCCCCCCCCGCCTCAGCCTGTTGCGCCCTGACCCGCCTTGGCCCCACTCAGCCACCTTGGGCCCTCTTAGCAGCAGCCTGTTGTTCCTTCGGCCACAGCCTATTCCCCTGCCCCCCCTCCTTACTCCCTTTCCATCCCTTCCTCACACCCTCAGGCACGACATGTTCCCCCCAAGTGATCTTAGCTGCAGTAACCCAGTAACTGCCTGGGGCCTCGTTTTGCCCCCACAACCCTCAGTGCCTTTGTGCCAAGTTACTCCTCGCCCCCAGTCTCTGAAGGGTTTTATCTAGGCCCCCAACTACCTTCCCTTGGGAACACCTGCTCCCAGCTCTCCACCACAATTGTCAGCGCTGCAAAACTGTTCTATGCGGCTTCAGAACCGAAGGCGGCATGACAGGTCTTGCCCATTTCGCAGAAAAAATATTTGCTTCTTGGTCCACTTTCCCCGCGATGCCCCAGGCACCAACACCAAACTGCACCGAAACCGACACGAACTGAAATCTACATCGTAACCCTCGGCTGTCCTGGAGGGCCGCGCTGAGGCTTGTCTACACTACCGCAGTGCAGCGGCGGGGCTGGGGCTGGAACATACCGGGCCACCAGCGCCCCGCCGCTTCTGCAGCTGCACCCCTCGGGCCGCCCCGTCGCGGAAGGCAGTAAACCCTGGTCCAAGCACTGCGCCCGCGATCTCCAGCGCTCCTCCCACCCCGCTAGTCCACCATGATTTGCAAAAAGCCTCTGCCCTGTAAATTAGCCCCGCCCGGCTCCGTGACTCCGGCATCTGAGACGGGCATTGGCTATAAAATGAAGGAGTGCGCCAGGTCGCTGTTCTCAGCAGAGGGCTAGGAGCAAAGAAACGCTTCACTCCAGTCCTGGCTCTGCCACTGATTTGGGTAAGTCACGTCTCCGTGCCTCGGTTTCCCGTCTTTCAAAGCGGTAACAGGCCTGGATGTGAGGCTGGGTCTGGTTTGTGGACCGTGCCTTGAATGCAGTAGGGGCAAGCATGGGCGGCGGGTGGAGCCCCCCCCCCTTAGGGGAGGCGAGCCCCGAGCCCCCCTGCTCCTCCCCCGCGCCCGGAGCAGCCCCGAGACCCCCGCGGCCGGCGGAGTCCGGGGCTGGCCGCGCCGCGCCCCCCTCCGCAGAGACCAAGCGGCTGCCTGGAAAAGCCTCCGGCTTGGTCCGAAGCAGCTGTGCTATGCCCCATGCAGGTTCCGGGGCGGCCGAGGGGGCGGTATGTCTTACTCCGCTTCCAGGGTCCATCAGTAACTCGCTGGAGTCCAGGGAGATAATCCGGGAAGCTGAATAGTACATGCCGCCTGCTCGCCGCCCCGGAACCTGCATGGGGCATAATACAGCGGCAGCTCCGCAGCCGCGGGTCCGAGGGCAGCCCACGGGAGCCAGAGCCTTCCCTGGCCTCTTCTGCCGCCGCCCCGATCAGGAGTGACTCCGCGAGGTGTTCTCAGCGTCAGGACAGTCAGATCCTATTTGCCCTCACTGGCGCGCAAATCCAGGGCCAGATTCTCCTACCATAGAATCATAGAATCTCAGGGCTGGAAGGGACCTCAGGAGGTCATCCAGTCCAACCCCCTGCTCGAAGCAGGACCAACCCCAAGTAAATCATCCCAGCCAGGGCTTTGTCAAGCCTGACCTTAAAAACCTCTAAGGACGGAGATTCCACCACCTCCCTAGGTAACACATTCCAGTGTTTCACCACCCTCCTAGTGAAAAAGTTTTTCCTAATATTCAACCTAAACTTCCCCCACTGCAACTTGAGACCATTACTCCTTGTTCTGTCATCTGCTACCACTGAGAACAGTCTAGATCCATCTTCTTTGGAACCCCCTTTCAGGTAGTTGAAAGCAGCTATCAAATCTCCCCTCATTCTTCTCTTCTGCAGATTAAACAATCCCAGTTCCCTCAGCCTCTCCTCATAAGTCATGTGCTCCAGTCCCCTCATCCTTTTTGTTGCCCTCCGCTGGACGCTTTCCAATTTTTCCACATCTTCTTGTAGTGTGGGGCCCAAAACTGGACACAGTACTCTAGATGAGGACTCACCAATGCCAGATAGAGGGGAACGATCATGTCCCTCGATCTGCTGGCAATGCCCCTACATATTCATCCCAAAATGCCATTGGCCTTCTTGGGCACACTGTTGACTCATATCCAGCTTCTCATCCACTGTCACCTCTAGGTCCTTTTCTGCAGAACTGCTGCCGAGCCATTCGGTCCCTAGTCTGTAGCGGTGCAGGGGATTCTTCCGTCCTAAGGGCAGGACTCTGCACTTGTCCTTGCTGAACCGCATCAGATTTCTTTTGGCCCAATCCTCTAATTTGTCTAGGGCCCTCTGTATCCTATCCCTACCCTCAGCGTATCTACCTCTCCTCCCAGTTTAGTGTCATCTGCAAACTTGCTGAGGGTGCAATCCACACCATCCTCCAGATCATTTATGAAGATATTGAACAAAACCGGCCCCAAGACCGACCCTTGGGGCACTCCGCTTGATACCAGCTGCCAACTAGACATGGAGCCATTGATCACTACGTGTTGAGCCCGACAATCTAGCCAACTTTCTATCCACCTTATAGTCCTTTCATCCAGCCCATACTTCTTTAACTTGCTGGCAAGAATACTGTAGGAGACTGTGTCAAAAGCTTTGCTAAAGTCAAGGAACAACACGTCCACTGCTTTCCCCTCATCCACAGAGCCCGTCATCTCATCATAGAAGGCAATTAGATTACTCAGGCAGGACGTGCCCTTGGTGAATCCATGTTGACTGTTCCTGATCACTTTCCTCTCATGTAAGTGCTTCAGAATTGATTTCTTGAGGACCTGCTCCATGATTTTTCCAGGGACTGAGGTGAGGCTGACTGGCCTGTAGTTCCCAGGATCCTCCTTCTTCCCCTTTTTAAAGATGGGCACTACATTAGCCTTTTTCCAATCGTCCGGGACTTCCCCGGTCGCCATGAGTTTTCAAAGGTAATGGCCAATGGCTCTGCAATCACATCCGCCAACTCCTTTAGCACTCTCGGATGCAACGCATCCAGCCCCATAGACTTGTGCTCATCCAGCTTTTCTAAATAGTCCTGAACCATTTCTTTCTCCACAGAGGGCTGGTCACCTCCTCCCCATGCTGTGCTGCCCAGTGGAGTAGTCTGGGAGCTGATCTTGTTCGTGAAGACAGAGGGAAAAAAAGCATTGAGTACATTAGCTTTTTCCACATCCTCTGTCACTAGGTTGCCTCTCTCATTCAGTAAGGGGCCCACACTTTCCTTGACTTTCTTCTTGTTGCTAACATATCTGAAGAAACCCTTCTTGTTACTCTTAACATTTCTTGCTAGCTGCAACTCCAGATGTGATTTGGCCTTCCTGATTTCACTCCTGCATGCCCGAGCAATATTTTTATACTCTTCCCTGATCATTTGTCCAATCTTCCACTTCTTGTAAGCTTCTTTTTTTGTGTTTAAGATCAGCAAGGATTTCACTGTGAAGCCAAGCTGGTCGCCTGCCATATTTACTATTCTTTCTACACTTCAGGATGGTTTGTCCCTGTAACCTCAATAAGGATTCTTTTAAATACAGGTTTCAGAGTAGTAGCCATGTTAGTCTGTATTAGCAAAAAGAACAGGAGGACTTGTGGCACCTTAGAGACTAACAAATTTATTTGAGCATAAGCTTTCGTGAGCTACAGCTCACTGAATGCATCCGATGAAATGAGCTGTAGCTCACGAAAGCTTATGCTCAAATAAATTTGTTAGTCTCTAAGGTGCCACAAGTACTCCTTTTCTTTTTAAAATACAGCCAGCTCTCCTGTACTCCTTTCCCCCTCATGTTGTTCTCTCAGGGGATCCTGCCCCTCAGTTCCCTGAGGTTGTCAAAGTCTTCTTTTGTGAAGTCCAGGGTCCATGTTCTGCTGCTCTCCTTTCTTCCTTGTGTCAGGATCCTGAACTCGACCATCTCATGGTCACTGCCTCCCAGGTTCCCATCCACTTTTGCTTCCCCATCTAATTCTTCCCGGTTTGTGAGCAGCAGGTTAAGAAGAGCTCTGCCCCTAGTTGGTTCCTCCAGCACTTGCACCAGGAAATTGTCCCCTACACTTTCCAAAAACTTCCTGGATTGTCTGTGCACCGCTGTATTGCTCTCCCAGCAGATATCAGGGTGATTGAAGTCGCCCATGAGAACCAGGGCCTGCGATCTAGTAACTTCCATTAGTACCCGAAACAAAGCCTCGTCCACCTCATCCCCCGGTCCGGTGGTCTATAGCAGACTCCCACCACGACCTCACCCTTGTTGCTCACGGTTCTAAACTTAATCCAGAGACACTCGGGTTTTTCTGCAGTTTCATACTTGAGCTCTGAGTAGTCATACTGCTCTCTTACATACAGTAAAAAGAAAAGGAGGACTTGTGGCACCTTAGAGACTAACCAATTTATTTGAGCATAAGCTTTCGATGCATCCGATGAATCATAGAATCATAGAATATCAGAGAACATGAAAAGATGGGGGTTGCCATACCAACTCTAATGAGACGTGTCCTAACATCACGCTTTGGGCAAACACATCAAAACTGGGAGGCAGAGCCCTTGGCCTTGGCATTCGCTAGCACCTGGAATCAAGACGAACAGTGAAGCTGGAGCACAGCCCTGTGCCCTGCAGCGTCTCTGAGGTGCATGCAGCAGCTTGACGTGAGGCACCAGAGAGTGAGAAGATGCTCTGGGGTCTGGAGGCCTGGCCTCACCAGTGCATGAGCTGGGGAGTTTGGGCTCAGCTGTCATTCGGCACCAGAGAAAGTGGCTGAATTCATAGAATCATAGAATATAAGGGTTGGAAGGGACCCCAGAAGGTCATCTAGTCCAACCCCCTGCTCGAAGCAGGACCAATTCCCAGTTTAATCATCCCAGCCAGGGCTTTGTCAAGCCTGACCTTAAAAACCTCTGAGGAAGGAGATTCTACCACCTCCCTAGGTAACGCATTCCAGTGTTTCACCACCCTCTTAGTGAAAAAGTTTTTCCTAATATCCAACCTAAACCTCCCCCACTGCAACTTGAGACCATTACTCCTTGTTCTGTCATCTGCTACCACTGAGAACAGTCTAGAGCCATCCTCTTTGGAACCCCCTTTCAGGTAGTTGAAAGCAGCTATCAAATCCCCCCTCATTCTTCTCTTCTGCAGGCTAAACAATCCCAGCTCCCTCAGCCTCTCCTCATAAGTCATGTGTTCCAGACCCCTAATCATTTTTGTTGCCCTTCGCTGGACTCTCTCCAATTTATCCACATCCTTCTTGAAGTGTGGGGCCCAAAACTGGACACAGTACTCCAGATGAGGCCTCACCAATGTCGAATAGAGGGGAACGATCACGTCCCTCGATCTGCTCGCTATGCCCCTACTTATACATCCCAAAATGCCATTGGCCTTCTTGGCAACAAGGGCACACTGCTGACTCATATCCAGCTTCTCGTCCACTGTCACCCCTAGGTCCTTTTCCGCAGAACTGCTGCCTAGCCATTCGGTCCCTAGTCTGTAGCTGTGCATTGGGTTCTTCCGTCCTAAGGGCAGGACTCTGCACTTGTCCTTGCTGAACCTCATCAGATTTCTTTTGGCCCAATCCTCTAATTTGTCTAGGGCCCTCTGTATCCTATCCCTCCCCTCCAGCGTATCTACCACTCCTCCCAGTTTAGTATCATCCGCAAATTTGCTGAGAGTGCAATCCACACCATCCTCCAGATCATTCATGAAGATATTGAACAAAACCGGCCCCAGGACCGACCCTTGGGGCACTCCACTTGACACCAGCTGCCAACTAGACATGGAGCCATTGATCACTACCCGTTGAGCCCAACAATCTAGCCAGCTTTCTACCCACCTTGTAGTGCATTCATCCAGCCCATACTTCCTT